GAGCAATGGCTGAAGTGTTGTCAACATACAAAGTCACAACTCTCGGCTTGGTTGAGGTGATCTCTGACAGTAAGCTTCTGAGCCACAAAGCCTGCATTGCTGCCACAGTAGCTGCCATGAACTCTGATTCACAAGAGGACAATGCTACTGTCTTTTGCTTCTGTGAACACCAGGTTATCAAACACTCATTGAGATAAAATGCCATCCCAGTTGTGCTTCTCCTTCCTATTAAGTCAGATGCCAGATCACTATCTGAAAAACCCTTCAGTACTTCTGGATCACTTCCAATAGTATACATTAGACCATAATTGAGACTACCCTGTATGTATCTGATTATCTGCTTTACTGCCTTCAGATGCATAACTGTTGGCTTCTCCATAAATCTACTTGCTATTCCCACTGAAAAAGCAAGATCTGGTCTTGAGTGCAATAGGTATCTCAGGCAACCAACAACACTCCTGTACTCAGTTGCATCAACTTTCTGACCACCTTTGTCTTCATGCAACTTGACGCCTGGATTCATAGGAATCTTTGTTGGATTACAATCCTCCATGCCAAACTTGGCTAGCACTTTCTTGGCATATCCTGATTGCTTGAGTGTGATGAAGTCTTCATGCTGTTCCACTTCCATTCCCAGGTAGTAGGACAGCAAGCCAAGATCACTCATCTCAAACTCATTCTTCATTTGTTTCTTAAACTTCTCAATTTCCTGTGTTTCACTCCCAGTGATCAGCAAATCATCTACATAAACTCCCAAGATAAGAGTGGCTTTCCCAGCACCTCTCTTGTACACTGCCTGCTCACTTGCACATTTCACAAACCCCAACTTCCTCAGACTTTTGTCCAGTCTGATGTTCCATGCTCTGGGTGCCTGTTTGAGCCCATACAGTGCCTTGGATAGCTTCAGTGCATACTGTTCTTTGCCCTTAACAACATACCCTTCAGGTTGAGTAACAAACACCTGTTCTTCCAACTCACCATTCAGAAAGGCTGTTTTTACATCCAGATGGTGTATCTTCCATCCTCTATTTGCTGCCAGTGCAATGATCAACTTGACTGTGTCAATTCTGGCAACTGGGGCAAAGACTTCTTCATAGTCCACACCATGCTTTTGCACATAGCCTTTTGCCACTAGTCTGGCTTTGTGCTTGACAATTTCCCCTTCTGCATTTCTTTTCAGTTTGAATACCCACTTGAGACCTATTGCTCTCTGACCAGCAGGCAATCTTACTAGCTTCCAGGTCTGATTCTTCTCAATAGACCTTATCTCACTATTCATTGCCTCCACCCAATCTGGTTTTTCTGCTGCTTCACAGTATGATGTTGGTTCATCAGATTCTGCTAACAAAGCATCAATTTCCTCTGAATCTTCCAACTCAACTTCTTCTGTGTTCTGATAGATCTCATTCAAACTCTTGAAATACTGTGGTTCCTCATCAGACAGATCATCATAACCCACCTCAGACTCTGACTGATTTCCACTAGCATGTGAACCTGAATTCTGCAGTAGTGTGTTGTCTGCATTTTCACCAACACCTGAATCAGTGTCCTGTAGCTCATCTGGCACACTGCCATTTCCTGAGTTATTTGCAGACTGGGCTCCCCCTGGCATAGATTGTGGTACTGTGTTTTCATCATCAACTGTAACTGTCTCCCAATTACCTTGATTCACCAAACCCTCATCCTCTACTTGAAATTCCATCAAAGTTTCAGATGAGTTACCACACCACTTCCACTCTACTGCTTCTTCAAACACCACATCTCTGCTAATGACAATTTTCTTCTGAACTGGGTCATACAATCTGTGAGCTTTGCTTCCCTCTTCCACTCCAAAATAAACCATCTTGTGACTCCTATCATCAAGCTTCTTTGGATGTGGTGATGTCTGTTTCACATGTGACAGACACCCAAACACCTTCAAATGACCAAGGTGAGGTTTTTTCCCATTCCATGCTTCAAAAGGGGTTTGCTCCCCCATAGGCTTAGATGGTAGTCTGTTCAACAAGTAGACAAAGACATGCTGATGCCTTCTCCCAGAATCTCCTCGAATTTTCATGCATTTCAAAGCATTGACCTTGACATTTCCATAATCATTTGTTTCTCCTTTCCACCACACCATTCTCGTTGAGGTGAATAAGGTGTCATCAAGCTGTCTCTTGATGCCAGCTTCTTCACATATACTTGCAAAGATGCTTGATGAAATTCTCCACCTCTGCTCGGACACGAGAATTTTGATCTTGTGTCCTGTCTGGTTTTCAGTTTCAGACTTGTATTTGACAAAAGCATCACAAGCCTGATCTTTGCTCCTCAACATAAACACATTCATCCATCTATCTGTAGTCATCCACTAGAAGCATGAAATATTTGTTTCCTCTTGGTGTTCTTTGGAGTGATGGGCCCACATAAATCCCATACACCAGCTCCAAAGGTTTGCTTGCTCTGAAACTTGTTGCATTTGGAAAAGGTCTTCTTGATCGCTTTCCCCGCCAAACAACCATGACACAAACTGTATTCGGATGTGATGTCATAGGTACACCCACAGCCATCCCCTTCTCAACTAACAACCTCATTGCCCTGAAGTTGACATGACCCAGCCCTAGCATGCCACAACCATGCTTTGGCTCTTCCAAGCTCCCCATCAAGCAAACAAAGTTCATTTAACTTCGGATGTATTTTGTACATTCTATTGACAGATCTCCGAACTTTCATTAACAATCTCCCGACATCTTGTCTAAAACTTCTAGACAATCCTCATCTAGTGTCACCTTGTAGCCAATCTCAAAGTGAGCTGACCCAGACTCACCAAGTTACTTTTCGGTTTAGGAATGTAATAAACATCACGAAGCAAACCATCGATCATTCTTTGGTTTTGCAATTGAAAAATCTTGAACCCTTCCCCATGATCTCTCACCGATCCATCCCCAAATCGACTCTCCCTACTACACCATGATCTAACTCCTTAAATTTGTTCAAGTCACCGGTCATATGATTACTAGCACCATTATCTAAATACCGAGAGATTACGGTCTTTGGTACCACCACCAGTGAGGTGTAGCTCCGGGAACACGCGATGTTCATTCAGATTCACAGCTTCCCGCTTCTCTCCGAAACTTGAGCCTGGCGGCACTTGCTCGATCGGCTTTCGCAACTCTCAAGAACCGTGAGCATCAACGCGGCTCCACGCCGTTCACCCTCGCGTGATGAGCTTCCTCGCCCTTCTTCTCCTTCGGACACCGATTGGCGTGAGTGTCCATACTCCTTGCAATTGAAACATCGAATGTGCTCCTTGTTCTTCTTGATAAAGACACCGTGGCTCGGGCGCTCCCCACGCCCACCACGGCCACGGCCTCTCCTCCGGCCTCGACCTCGACCACGTGCTCCCCTTACGGTGATCTCCCTCTTCCCGAGACTTCACCTCCAGATCTCTTCTGCTTTGCTTCCCACTTGGCTTGGGTGAGCAGCAGTTGACCACTGCTATCAGTTTTGGTGCCTGATCCTCCAGCTCCCCGCTGAACTCTCTCCTCATACGCCTTCAACCTCCCGATCGCCTCCTCAAAAAGCAAAGTCTTCAGATCATAAAACTGTTCGATACCAGCCACCACACTGATGAACTTGTTCGGCACCGTATCGAACAGTTTCTTGACCATGGCTGAATCGTCCAAAGTTCCCCCAAAGTTGCTGTATCTCACCGACATGGATGTCAGTTTCCCAGCATACTCATCGATGGATTCATCCTCCCTCATCTTCAGTGCATCGAACTCGGCCTTCAGAGTCTGCAGACGCGCATCACGAACTCGATCCGCGCCTACAAACCTCGCCTTCAGGCAGTCCCAAATCTCCTTTCCAGTCTTCTTCTTCGCCACTTGCATGAGTAGATCATCGGGCAGACACTGCAGGAGATGCGCCTTCGCCTTCTTGTCCTTGGCGGTTGCTTTCTCCTTCTCCGCCGCTGTCCGCGCCGTTGATGACTCCGCCTCCTCCGGCTCAACAACCTCCCATACTCCTTGATCTTCCATGATGGCCTGCACCCGGATGCTCCAACTCACATAGTTGGTCGCCGTGAGAGGCGGGTACACCACCCTCCCCCCATCTCCTGCGCCGCCGGTTCCCCCGCCGCCGCTCCGAGAGCTCTCGTTCATCTTGGATCAAACTGAGTATGTGGAACTGTGTGATCGTCGGCTCTGGTACCAACTCCTTCTCCGCCGCTGTCCGCGCCGTTGATGACTCCGCCTCCTCCGGCTCAACAACCTCCCATACTCCTTGATCTTCCATGATGGCCTGCACCCGGATGCTCCAACTCACATAGTTGGTCGCCGTGAGAGGCGGGTACACCACCCTCCCCCCATCTCCTGCGCCGCCGGTTCCCCCGCCGCCGCTCCGAGAGCTCTCGTTCATCTTGGATCAAACTGAGTATGTGGAACTGTGTGATCGTCGGCTCTGATACCAAATATTGATTCCAAGACCTCAATCACACAGGGATTATAGTGGCTAACCTAACAAATCAAGAGATCAAGCATACGATGCAAGAACAAGAACACAGGAATGACGAACGGCAGCTATCAACAGGGATGATAGTGCCCCTTTTCACTTTTTACACCACAATGTTCAGTACACAATTACAATAGACTCAGCAAAAGCTATCTAGTGCTATACCCCGGCTTTATGACCAAGCCATCACACAGCACAATCACACATAAAGAAAACTGCTAAAACGTGGATACAAGACACGCTCAATGCAACTGCTGCAGCACCGCGACATCGTGGGCGCGCTCACCGCGCACGCCAGTTTCTGCTGGATTTGAATCCTGCTTTTCCCACTCTCTGCTGACATGGCTTCACCAGCTGACTCAGCAGACATGTGCACAAGCTAGATTAACCCAACAAGCCCGGCCTTCTGCTCCACCCGCAGCTGGTCCCGCTCCAGCAGAGCAGTTGATGCTGGCCCACCTCTGCTCACTCTCGCTCGCAGTTGCTGCTGGCGAGCTGCCATCGTACGTGGTCTACCTCTGCCAAGACGCGCATGGCGCGACGACGGCACACAAGTCGCCGATGCTAATGCATGGCTCGGGTGCAGCTGGAGGATCTCCCGCTTCGTCTGCGCGCGACTCAGCTTCCGCCGGCTCTCCAGCGCCGCCTTGTCCATCACCTTCATTGGAACCAGCAGGGCCTCGCCACACCGCCGTTGCCGCTGTCCCGATGTCGCCGCACCCGAGTCTCCGCAGCAGCCCGAAGCTGCCCCTGGCCCGACGCACGCGCGCCACGAGGATGGCCTTCCACCTGGGGTCGCCGCCCTTGTGCGGCTTCCCCGAGCTGCTGCCGGCGCCGGAGCCAGTGCCGTTGCTCCAGCCGCTGCCGTCGCTGGCCACGCTGCTGCTGACGCTGGTCTTGGCGCTCTGGCTGGTGACGGTGCAGCTCGGCGCGATGCTGCTGTGCGGGCTCGCCGCGCCGCTCGGCGGCGGGGACGCGTCCCACGAGATGACTGACTTCGGGACCGGCTTCTCCTGTCGCCGATGCTAATGACGACGGGACACAAGTCGCCAATGCAAAATAAGATGAGTAAATTGCGTACGGACGTTATGAGATGCTAATGGCAGCAGACGCAAGCTAATAGAAAAGGAGCGATCCATGAAATCCGTTGGAGCCCAGAGGGTCAGCAGCTAATGGAAATGGAGCAAATGGTGCTCCTATGCTAATTAGATGGATCCGTGGGTCAGCCACGGTTCGCTCCGTGGATCACCCATCCCCATCTTGAGTCGTCACCGGCGTCGCCGCTCTGAACAGCGAGTGCCGCCGCGCGAACCTCGTGCGCCTCAGGATCTCGGCCACGTCGCCGTTGCGCCGCGCGCCGTCGCCGTCCCTGTCGCCGTACGCGAGGTGAGTGCACACGAAGCACAGCGACGCACCGCCGCGCAGCGAGAGGCTGACGGACACGGAGCCTTTATTGCCCATGTAGCCCATGACGCCCCTGCCGACGCACGACGCCCGGACGCCGGCGACGCTTAGGAGGAGGTCGGCGCGGACCCACACGCACAGCAAGATGCCCACCATCTGCTTGCTGGCCGCCAGCCGGTAGCGGTGTCGTACGCCGCGCCGCCGGCTCCTCCTCGCTGCTCGACTCCGGGGCCGATGATGACGTGGACGGCTCGCTGCCTGCGTCGTCGTCGTCGACCGGCTCCGACGACGCCGTGCTCGCCCTGCGGCTGCCATCCTCCGCTGCCGCCAGCAGGTCCGAGAAGCTCACCCGGCTGGCTTTCTAGATCAGGTGCGTGTCCGACGGAGACCTGTGGCTTCTGCTGCTCGACGACGACGATGAGGAGGAGGTGGCGGCGGCCAGCGCCGTTCAGCACCTCCGCTCCTACGGTCTGTCCCTCTTCGCCTACTGCGATGCCAGTCGGAGAGAGAAAGAAAGAAGAGGATAAGAATATGACAGAACGGTATCTTGACACTTTCACTGGCTAGAGTGGGCAAACGACAAACATCAGACAGAAGTGGATGAAATGGCGTGTAAGGCAAGAAAGCAAAGTATCATGATATATAGGTATATTCGAACTTTTTAGAGAAGGCTCATCATCCTAGCCCATGAAGGCGGAGCTCGCGCGCGCGGTCTGCGCCTGTTCGTTTGGGCTTGTTTGGCTAATAAGCCATGACTGAAAGTACTGTTGATTAATTTGGTGTGAAAGAAAAATATTATTCGTTGACTGAAAAAATACGGCTTATAAGCCAAACAAGCCCAAACGAAGATGGCGCTGGACGCTTGCCCTCGGCAGCGCTGGATTGCATATCTCTATCCATCGATCGGAGCCGGAGCGAACACGTCGCCGCCCGACGCTCGTCAATCGGTGCAGGTGACCCCTCTGGCCTCTGCACCCTCCCATCAATCACTCGTCTACGGGTTGCTGTTTGAATGGTCGTGCAGTCACGGAGGCTCGCTGATTCGCTATTTTTCTTAGGTAAAATAACTAAAACTTAATCTTTTACTCTTTGCCTTTTTATAGAAAATTATTTCTACTTTCATATCTATTTTCTAACATCACAAATAATAAATTATTTAATTATTTAACATTGTGTTTTTTAATATTTATGTAGTTACGAAGAGAAACATGGATATTGCATCTATTTTGGATTATTGTCTAGTCATTTTTATTGAATGGGAAATTTTCATTGAAGTTGATGAAGATGATATAATCAAGATATTTATGTCTCTTCGAAAGCGTCAAATAAAATAGTCAGAAAAATAGTATTGTAAGTCTCCGGTACTCTTTTATGCCTATATTTCAATTGTCGGTATGACTTTTGAACTATTATTTATATTGTATTTAGTGGATGGTTTCAACTTAATCTATGAATTTAAGCTTTATCGTGTTACTTAGTGCATATATACCAAATCATGTTGTCAATTTTATAATTATTACCGAATTGCTAAAATGGATGTACCGAATTGGATATGAAATTTTTTGAGCGGCGTACCGTAAGCTAAAATTCTAGATTCGCCACTTATCTTTCTTGTATGATCTCTTTTTTTTGAACTTATCTGTATGGCCCTAAAACGAAATTATCTTTCTTCTATGGTCTTCCGTTCGCTTTGGACACTTGACGGTGTTAAGTCCAGGGTAAAATGACCATTATACCCCTGATGAAAAAATGCAGAGTTTTGTTTGTCTATTGTACATTTGGAGAAATATTACACAAATAAATTCACATATAACAGTACATAATAATAAGACACATAATCAAGTACACAAATACATTGCAATAAAGTGAGCTTATTAAATGCATAAAAAATTGCATAAATGCATTGCAATTAACCATAGATTGATACATAAATTGTTCACCAATTCACCATAGTTTCAGTCTCACATAAATAAGGTCATACAAAAATATGATTTTGAACATACATTGGTCTCCACATAACGAGCGAATTCAATATGAATATCACAATTCAAAGCTGAGTCTTCTTTTGCTTCGCGTGCTCATGATAGGGCTACTGGGACTAGGAAGTCATGTCTTGCTTCTTTACCCATCGATGGGCTGTCAAGTGCCACCTTCGAAATATCTACACCTTTTTTCTTTAGAAGGCCTAGCTTGTTCTTGATGGTTTTCAGCTTCGTGAAAACATATCAGAACTCGCAAGCTTCCAGGGCGACTTCATCATCTGAATCTTTATTAGCTTGCAGGATCAATTCATTAACATTTTTAAGATGTGGCTGCAGTTTCAATATCCAATGTTAGATCCAGTACGTCAAGGGAATAAGAAAACTAATACGAGTCAAGGCAAAAATTGTGTACATCATCAGAAAAATTGTGGGAAAATAGGAAAATGAAGAAGTTTGGAGCACTAGTTACATTACATCACTAATACATATTAGGTGAAAGCATGAAAAAAGTCTAATAGACAGCAAACGTAACACACCTCCAGAATTGATGGGCGAATGAACCCAGGCTGAACAAACCTATCAAATAAACAGGGAGAATTAGCAAGTTGATATGTTCCATTGAAAAATCATTATTGCCATTTTGCTTGCTGACAAATCAGCTATAAGCCTAGAAAATAAATCCTGCTTCAATTATGAAATAATTACATTTATATGCATTTGAATCTTATTCTCTTGCAAATAAGTAGCACACCATAATGTGCAATTTCATTATAACAAATAAGTTAGTACGATAAGTAATTATCTACGGTGAATACCAGTTTCCGAACATCTGCTGAAGGGTCCTTTGCAAGGTTGAATAATCCCTGAATATACTGATCCATAGACATGTGGACTGCCTGTGCAAATCTAACAGTGAGTGAAAAGCGTTGATAAAGATAAGCTGAAGATGGGGCTAGGACTCTTACCGATGGCATCACTACTATGTACTGATTTACGCAACCCAACGATAGTTTTCTCAAAGTAGCATGTGGTGACGGGAAAAACTGAAGGAGCCGCGGCGTGCTGCTCGTGCTTGCTGGAGGTGCTGGCCGCGCCAGGCTGCCTGCAGGGAGGCCACCTACTGCCGAGCCACACCGGCCACCGGAGGTGGCGGCCGCGCCAGGCTGGGGCCGGGCTGGCCATGCGCGCTCCATCAGCCGGGCCACGGCGCCTCCCCACGGTGACCAACGCTAGGAGTAGGGCCGGACGGAGGTGGATCCGGGCCGGAGATCCCGCGGCGGCGCCCTAGCCGGTGGCGGCAGCGTCGGTCCCCTCCCCCATCGCTCGATCTTGGTGTCTTTCCGCCAACTCGGTCTCGGCCGGGTGCGCGGCTGGATGCGGCAGTATGGCTGAAAGAGCAGAAGGTCAATTTAGACATTTCACATATCAACCAGTGGGCAAACTAACCGAATACGCTAACAGATTTGACAGAAGGCTATAGAAGGAAAAAAAATTATTTTGAGGGCATATGAGTCTATGTTCTTCGTGCTATAGTTACTCTCGTAGCCCAAATCCACTACTACCATGGATGGATAATCACTGCTACACTGAGTCCTATTACAAGCGGTTCGTAAAGTAAGCTGTCGGTGGTGATGACATTCTCATCACAGGCGGTTTACAACCGACGGTGATAATAGCTTATCACAGTTGGTTCGTATTACCGGTCGGTGGTGATTTGAATTTTCAAAATTCCCAAAAATGGGCAAAAAAATAGCAAAAAAATCATTTCAATCCTGGGAAGAGCCCCACTAGCTCCAGCTTCATGGTACCGGGAAGCTACTCCAGCTCCAACTCCATGTTATTTTTCGTGGTACGCTGTTCTAGGATTCGAACCTGAGATCTTTGTCTTTTGCTCCTCTAATCACTCTACCCCTAAGTCATTTGTGGTACCAGGAAGCTACTCCAGTTCCAACTCCACGCTTTTTTTTCATGGTACGCGGTGCTAGAATTCGAACCCGAGACCTTTGTCCTTTGCTCCTCTAACCACTCCACCCCTAAGTCACTTGTGTCTATATAGCATATTCGTTCCTCTAGTATTTACTTTTTATCAGGATTTAAAATGAATATTTAGAACCCTAAACGGCTTCAGATGAAAAAGTCATAAACTATAAATTTGTTGTTCTAATCGAGAACTACAACTTTGACTTTGGTTATTTCGCCATCTGAGGTCGTTTAACAAATTTGAATTTGAAAATGTCAAAACTTTAGCAAGACTTTTGGGACCTCAAATGTTTTCAAATAAAAAACTCATCAACTACAAAGTTGTTGTTCTCATCGAGATCTACAACTTTGGTTTTGGTGAATTTTCCATCCAAGGTTGTTTAAAAATTTTGGTTTTTAAAATTTTAAAACTTCAGGTACAAATTAGAGACTATAAATGATTTCTAATGAAATAGTTGTCAACTAGGTTTTGGTCATTTTTTCGTCTAAGGTCGTTTGTACAATTTGAAAATTTTAAATTTCAAAAATTGAGTGCTTCAAACAGAATTATGGGACCGTAAACGGTTTCAAATGAAAAAGTCATCAACGACAAAGTTGTCGATCTTATCGAGGTCTACAACTTTTATATAAAGTTTGTTTTCATCTGACTTTATTTGAATAAGTTATAAATTTATTTATACTGTAGCATGGTTATCACCGTCGTATCATACAACAAGCTGGCGGTGAAAATGTCTTCACTGCTGGTTCATATGGTGAGGCGGCAGTGATGAGGAGCACATTATCACCGCTGATTGATGGTGCAAAATAGCTGTGATGATGGACTATCACCGCCGGTTCATAAGACGAAGTGGTGGTGATAGTTATCAACCCGCACGTTCTTACGAACCAGCGGTGATACTCTCATCACCAACAGTTACGAGCCGTTGGTGATAACTATCAGCAAAGGTTTTAATGATACCGACGGTGATAAAGGTGTTGGTGATAGGTCAATCTGTAGTAGTGAATCTCACCACTAGCCACCCCATGCTAAATCTCCCTGTCACTCATGTGCTATTGATGGCTTTTCCCCTCCAATTCGGCCTCCTGATGCGGTCTATTTGGGGACCCTAGATCTAGTGCTCACCTAGGCAAAAGGCCTTTGCTGGTTGCGTCACACACTACTCAGGGTGTTGGGACGTGTCTCGAGGCTGCCGT